ATATGCTCCTCCAGTGAAGGACAATAAAAATATGGCAGTTGTGTTGGGCACTCAACTTCACTACTGAAAGCTATGCATCCCTAGTTGCTATTTCTTAGAAAAATAAAAAGGGACCAATGTTTTGAAACCCGAACTATTGACCAAACCGGAAAAGTGACTGGATCAAGAGTCACTGGTTCAATTGTCAGGTCAATAGGAATTGAACCATGATGTCATAATTACCTAAATTTATTAAAAATTATACTTAAATAAAAATAATAATTATTAAAATACATTCATTAAAAATATTTTAAGATATATATTTTTTACAGAAATAATTATACTAAATATATATGTTCATACATATGTTTTTATATTGATATTGTTTGTGAAAATGTAAATAAAATTTGTGTTTGAGATAAAATACGTTGATATAATAAATAACATATATGTACATGTACTATATATTGATAAGAAATATAATAAATAACATATATGTACATGTACTATATATTAATAAGAAGCTGAGTTGCTGTTTGTGCCTAATTTTGTAAAATTCTTGTCGACAGGTGTATCAGTCAGATGATGACACATGGCAAAGTCAAAGTGAGAGTCTTTCATTAATCAGAGGGACAGGTGGCATGAAAAAAGGTGAACATGTGCAGAAAGTGGTAGGAATGTTCTGGGGCCAGTTACCAGCCAGTTTGTGATATAGTGGGCTGATTTATAGGAGATGATGCTCGCAAATTGAGGCTTGTTCTTTGTCGAGGTATCGCTCAGAATAATGAGGGGCATGTGGCAGCATGGAGGAAAGATGGTTCGATAGGTGGAGTTGAGTATTTGGCAGATTTTGAAGGCTTGGAAGTGAAGAGGCAGTTACCATGACAGTTATGCAGTTGCAGGTTTGAAGGAATATGCGATCATGGGCCAACGAAAGAGGAGAAAGTATAAAAGCCAAAGATTTGTAAAGAGGAGGACATCATCAACACAACAACAACTTAGTTTTTACCTTAGGAGTAGATTATCAATTTAGGAGTAGTTTATTCTATAACTTGTAACCTTTGTAAACTTTGGTGGTTTCATCTTGAAATCATCTCTTGTTTGCTTTGTTTACTTAGTTTGATCTTGTTGATTGTAACCTCTGTTATCAGAATCTTACGATTCGCGATTCGATTCATGATTCGATTCACAATTTTTGTAAAATCGATACGAATCTATGGGTGAATCTATTTTGGAAGTGAATCTCTAGTGAATCGTACGATTCACAATCGATTCACGATTCGATTCACTTTTTGCGATTCATGTAATTTTTGAAATTATTGTGTCCGACATATTTCGTCTCTTTTTTTGTCCATCTTTTTGGTGAAAATTACATAATACAACTTCTTGTAGTGTTTAATACCAAAATAACTAACGTATATACATGATTTGTTGCTATTTTATTAATTATGGAGTTTTTAATAGGATCCAATCAGATTTAATCAGACCCAACATATTTTTAACCTTTCTTCTCATTTTTTTTTTCTTTAAAAAATCATAATATATCTTCTAATGATGTTTAAAATTAAAGTTAAACTATGAATTATCTATTGCTGAGATCAGTTATATCTTTTAAAATGTTTTAGGTTTTAAAATAAAAGATTCTAAATAATTCTTTCTTATTATTTGCTCACTGTTACTTAGAAAAGTATGTATACTTATTGTCCAAATATCAATATCATTAATTATTATTACTTTAGAAATTGATAGTTTGTCTATTTGGTTATTATTTTTTTTATTAAGAATGGTTGATAAGACATATCTAAAAAAGAATAAAAGGTAAGATGGTAATCTTACATAGGAACCTTTGTTACCTTCTTACCTATTAAACTACGTGATTATCATTCAAAATAATTTTTCATAAATTTAAGTCTAAATATTTTATATTCATAAGATATATTTAACATCTAAATATGTAGATGTATGTTTTAAGTAATTTAGAAAAAATGACCGAATCTTTACGATTCACGATTCGATTCGATTCGCGATTCAGTACGAGGTCATTTCGATTCACGATACGAATCCCGATTTAACAACTATGATTGTAACTTTTTTCCCAAAGAAGTCCTTGTACTTTCAAGGCATTTGAATCAAAAAACACAGTCGCTTGATCTCTCTGTTTGGTTGTTTGTTTAAATTATTGCCTAGCTTCTGTCAATTTAGGCCAAGCATAATTTTTACTTACAATTTTTGGCACGCCCAATGAGACAACATCTTAATTTGGAACAGTTAAGAATACTTGTCTAAACCTCCAATCTTGATGCCACCAATCAAAGGAAAACCCTTAAAATTGTATATTTCAACAGGGGGCAATCGACTGGTTTTTTATTGGCACAAGATAATGAGGAGTGTGAATAAGCTGTGTATTACCTTAGGAAGCTAAATGAAGCAGAAATTAGGTATAGCTCTGTGGAGAAGTTATGTTTGGCCTTATATTTTGCAGCAATCAAGTTAAGGCATTACATATTACCTTCAGAGGTTGATGTGATTGCTCAAACAGATGTTATAAAATACATGTTATCAAGGCTAGTTTTGAGAGGGAGATAGGGAAAATGGATACTTGCATTGATTGAATATTGTTTTAAGTATGTTCCTCAAAAAGCTGTGAAAGGCCAGGCATTGGCAGACTTTTTGGCTGAACATCCTTGTAACCCTATCGAACCAAACTTGTATGAAGTTTTTTCAGTAGAAATGAAGCCATAGAAGTTGATGTTTGATGGTTCAAAAACTGAAGAAGGTGTAGATGCTAGGGTGGTTTCACCACAAGGACAAGTGTTTCAGTCTTCTTACCAATTGGATGAGCTCCAAGTGCAATCAAATAACCAGACTGAGTACGAGGCCTTGATTATTGGCTTGGAATTGGCAAGAAGCCTCAAAATCCCACACTCAAAGGTGTTTGGAGATTCACAATTAGTGATAAGACAGGTCATTGGTCAATACAAGTGTAATAGTGCAGTACTTGGGGAATACCTAGATCAAGTTTTAAAATTGGTCAAAGGTTTTGAATCAGTGGAGTTTGAACATATGTTTAGACTTGAAAATAAAGAGGCCAACAAGATGGCTCAAGTTACATTTGGTTTAAGAATTCCATATGGTTTTCAAGAAAGGATTATAAAAATTCAAAAAAGAGTAATGCCTTGTGTCAAGTGTCGACAACAACAAAGTTTGTCAATCTTGGTTTTATATGTGGCAGAAGATGATTGGAGATCATCCTTGATTAAATACTTAAGCAATCCAGAAGCAAGAGTGGATAGAAAAACAAGATATCAAGCTATGAACTATCAACTACGTCATTTTAGGAGATGACTTGAAGTGCATGAGGGCATTTGTGGTGCTCACCAAGCTGGTGAGAAAATGAGGTGGCTTATTAAGAGACATGGTTATTTTTGGCCTTCAATGAGAAAGGATTATATTAGTTATGTCGGGCGATGTCAACGATGTCAAAAGCATGGCAATATACAAAAGGTGTTAGCTGTAGATTTGCATTCAATTGTAAAGCCTTGACCATTTAGCATGGTTGTTAAAATCGCGATCCGGATCGTAGGATCGTACGATCCTACGATCCTACTTTGCCAAAACGATCCAGATCGTTGTAGGATCGATGTTATAACAGTATCGCAAGTAGGATCGTGTAGGATCGCATGGGATCGTGTAGGATCGTATGGGATCGTATAGGATTGTAAGTAGGATCGCAAGTAGGATCGTAGATTTTATGATTTTTCACCTTATTTTTAATATGTATCATTTTAATTTTAATTTTTTTCTTTTTTTTTTAATAAAAAGTAGGATCTTACGATCCTCAATCCGATCCTACGATCCGATCCACCAAACCCTCTCACCGATCCTACTTAGGATTCCGATTTTAACAACCTTGCCATTTAGAGGATGGGCAATGGATTTGATTGGTCAAATCTTCTCACTTTCATCAAAACAACACTCATTTATTTTGGTTGTAATTGATTATTTTACTAAATGGGTTGAGGCAATTCCTTTGAAAGTGGTGAATTAATCCCATGTTATTGATGTCATCAAGAAACATGTGGTTCATAGGTTTGGATTGCCACAAACAATTACTGTCGACCAAGGGACAATTTTTAGTGGTGATGAAGTTAAAGAGTTTGCCAGAATATATGGCGTTCAAGTGCTCAATTCATCCCCATATTATGTCCAAGCAGAGTCATCAAATAAGACTATTAAGGCAACCTTGAGTAGGGTGATAGAGGATAACCCAACAGAATGGCATGAATTGTTATTTGAGGTGTTGTGGGCATATAGAAATTCTAAGAGGGATAGTACTCAGGCTTCCCCTTATGAGTTGGTTTATAGTCATGCTGCAATATTACCCTTAGAGATAACAGTAAGGTCTAACAGGGTGGCTAGGCACTATGACATCCCTGTCGATGAATATAATGAGGCCATGTTCATGGAGTTGCAAGATGTAGAAGGGAAAAGAGTGGATGCTTTCAATTGTATGATAGCACAAAAGAAGAAAATTGAAAGAATTTATAATAAGAAAGTTAAAGTGAAGGCTTTTGGTGAAGGTGATTTAGGCCTCGTTTGGCAAGAGGCTATTTTAGCCAATTAGCCAAAAAGTTACTAAATTAGCCAACAACCCATACCAAAAAGTCAAAGATTCTCTTTTCTCTCTACTTTTTGCACATCTTTTCGTAATTAGCCAAAAAGTCATCCCAAACATACAAGTTTTTTTTACCTACCTTTTTAGCCAAATAGCCAAAAAATTACTAAATTAGCCTGTTCCCAAACGAGGCTTAATTTGGAAAACTATCTTGCCATTGGGAACAAAGGGTCCTGAGTTTGGCAAGTGGTTACCAAATTGGGAAGGACATTTTAGAGTCCATAAAGTCCTCAAAAGAGGGGCATACCAATTAGCGTCCTTAGAAGAACAACCACATAGAAGAAACATAAATGGAAAATATTTAAAGAAGTACTATCCAACAGCCATGTGGGAAAATCTTAAAGGAAAATGAAATGACAAGCATTGATATTCACTGAAATTTCAAGATATTCACAAAAGCAAAACATGACTAAGACATTTACAAGAGAAAAAACAAACAATTGTGTCTAGTCTCTTGAGAAAGTAAGTGCAAGAGTGCCCCATCTTGATTGAGTGGCTGCCAACATAGCTTGAGCTTGATCAAGTTCTTCCATGGTGGCTTGTATGGATGATGGGCCACTCCCAATTTGAGCTAGTAGGGTTTTGGCTTCATCGCCATGCTTTTCTCTTTGTTGTTGAAGATCAAGCCTTTTTTGTTTAACAAGAGCTAGTTCTGCTTCAAGTCTAGCTTCTTCAAGGGCTAATGCTTTGTCTTGGTCAGAAAGATTGGAGGAGGTCTGACAGGTGATCATTAGCAAGTTGGAAATGTTTTGGGCAGTTCCCAAGAAGTCTTTCTTGGCTTGTATCTTTTCTTTGCAACTTTGAGCAGTTGCCAAAAGAGTTGGCCATTCAGTAATGATTTTGGCCAGATGGGTGAGTTGATTCTGACTAAAAGGGTTAGGAGATAGCCTTTGGATAGCAGTCAGGTAGCTCAAAGCTTCGATGGGTTGCTTTGAAGCTATTTCTTCAAATGGAGTGTTGATAAGGCTTAGGAAAGAAGTCATGATTTGTTGATCCTCAGGGCTATAATGATGAAGCCTTTGTGGAAGTGGAGATATATGCTCAAGGCTTTTCTGAAAGGCTGCAATTTCATCCCATATGCTCAAAGTTGTTCCAATTGGAGTTGAAACCTGTCGACAGTCAGGGTTAAGTAAGGATTGATAAGTTCTAGCTAAGAAAAGAAAAATATGGTGAAGAGTTACTACCTGCACATCAGTGGATGTTGGAATGCTGACTAAGGTGTCTTTTGAAGTATCAGCAAGGGGCTCACTTGTTGCTGGGAGGATAGTGTCCCCAATGTTTCCACTCATTGATGGAGTTTCCTCCATGGTTACAACTTTAGGAGATTGGATGTTTTTAGGTTCAACTCTTGTGGGATTACGATCATTGGGTGGATTTTCTTCAATTGGTTTTCCTGCCCCTGTGATGAGAAATAAGGCCCTGTTTGTTTTCAGAGATAGAATGGAGGGGATTCATAGTGAGGGGATTAATAGTGAGGGGATTGTTAGGGAGGGGATTGTTAGGAAGGATTAAGTAAAATTGTGTTTGTTTTGATGATAGTTGTTAGTGTAGGAATTGTTAAATTATTTTTATATAAAATAATAAAAAAAATACAAAAACATTAAACATTAATGTTTTAAAAAAAATGCCAAACATGTAACAAATTTCCAGAAAAAATAAAATAAATAAAATAATGATTTTTACTTAACAAAAAATACGAAAAATTAAACATTAAAGTTCAAAAAAAATGCCCAACATGTAAAAAATAAAAATAAAAAAATAAAAAATTTCTAGTCCGGCGGACTATTTTTCTAATATTAAGTCTTGGAGGCCCATCCGAATCCCTTCCCCAAGGGGATTCATAATCCGAAGCTCACTATCAATCCCCTCCCCATCTCTCAAAACAAACACAATGTTAGTGGGTCCCACTTCACTACCAATCCCAATCCCCCTTCTAACTCTCCAAACAAATGGGGCCTAAGGAGTTAGTTAGTAAATTTAATTGAAAGGAATTAACAATAAAGAGGGAATGAGGAAGCTTGCTTACCATGAGTGACTTGGAGGTTAGGTTGAGGAAGTTCAATGGGTTCATTGAATGATGGGTGAGAACTCTTAGGAGTCTCCCTTTCAAAGGGCTCACCAATAGGAGATGATTGACCATTTGGAGATGAATCAATGTCAATCCTTTCTTCTTGCAAATTGGAAGGTTGTTCAATTGGAGAGCTGGTAGATTCAGACACATGATTTGAGGAGATGACTGACGGAAATTTGATGGCCCAGTTGCCCCTAGGTAAAGAACCTTCATTGGAAAGACTCCAAGAGTCACATCCTAAGGTTGATAGGGGGTGGATTAGAACTGATGTGTGGAGCTGGTTGGTTTGGGATTGCAGTGCTTGGCTCATTCTTAGAGGAGCGGGGATGTGTTTGAGAAGCTGCTTTGGGAGATGACTTGGGTTCTCTTCATTTTCAACATAAGTTGAAATGAGAATTCTTCTCCTTTTTCTCTGTAGAAGATAAAAATTTGAGGTGAGTTACATGATGATGCTAAGAGATGTGTGAGCATAAAGGTGAGGGATTATACCTGATGTGTTTGGTCTGAAGGATTGAGGGTTGTTGGTTCAAGTACTTGGTTGAATGGAATATCCCACTCCCTAAATGTGGGATTAAAATCTTCTTGAGCCAGAGTTGTAACAAGGGGCTCTTGCCTTTTCTTTGCCCTCATTTCTCTTGAGGATGATTGAGTTGCCCTTGTCCTCCTTTGTTCTTGTGCTTAAAGAGCTGTAATGGAGTCTCCCATAAGCTTAGGCACAGAAGGAGGAGCATTTTGGTTGGCATTTGGATTCATTGGTGTTTTGCCTTTGCTTTTGTCTTTGATTGGGACTTCAATGGCAGGAGGAGGTACCATGAGAGTGGATTTGACTGCAAGAAGTCAAAGAGATTGAGAATGAGAGAGAATTCAAAAGATGGAAGTAAGTTGATTGTTTAAAAGCTAAGGTGGGTTTACTTGTAGTCTTGAGGCTTGAGGTTGGTGGCTCAGAGCCCTGGTTATCGATGGATACTTCCTTAAGACAAGTCTTAAGAGGTTCGGGGAAGATCACTGCAGCCATAAGTGTCCATCAGTGTTCAAAGCCTTTGGTGAGATCAGAGATAGGCTTGAAGAAGTGCTAAAATTCTTGAGAAGATTTTCATTTTCTTTTTGCATCAGCTTTGCTTGAGAAGGGTCTTTGATGCTGATCCTTGTTCCTACTTCTTCGTGGATGGTGGAATGAAAGTAGGGGTATGGTGTGCATTGAGTAAGCCCAAATTGTCTTGACCATTGTTTGGGGCAGTAGCTTTCAAAGCTGCAGCTAGACATTCTTGTAGAAGAGATAGAACAACTAACTAGAATGTGGTTGCAGGTGAGAACATGCTTCCATGTCTCAACTTGAGACCTTATTTCGTCATCCGTCAAGTTGGAAGCATTCATGGAGAGATGTTCTAGTCTGAAGGAGGAGAATCGACAGTCATGAAATGGCCTAAAGAGAAGGGGGTTTGTACCAAATGGAAAATTGAAGAATGTGGTGAGGTATTGGGTTTATCAACAAAGGTTAGGTAGTAATATGTGTAAGAGTGGTGGTTTGGGATCATGGTGTTTGGCTTGGGAGGTTGTACCTCAAGGAAGTAGGCATACAAGCAAGCTTGGAAAAGCCAGAATAGTCCGCCACAGTTAGAGAATATCTTTTTATCAACAAAACAAAACATGCCTTTATAGAGGGTGGCAAGTAAGAAGCAAAAGCCATGGCTTGGCCATCTTGAAGGTATAAGGCCAATGGAAGGTATTCTTTAGTAATTTTGAAACCAAGAACACAAAAAATTAATTGACAAAGCCAAACTAGGTAAAAGACAACTCTTTCTTGGTCATCGACAGGGGTGTTTCTCTTACCTTTGTATTTTTTAATGAATTCAGTGTAACTCACTTTTGTATTGAGAGTGAAAGGCATTGGTGGAGTTTCTAGTAAGGCAATGATTTCTAACCCTAGGATGGGAAGTCCAGTTAAGTGGGCTACATCTAGAATGGTAGGGGATATCATGCCAAATCCTAGAAGCATTGAGGCGCAAGATTGTGGCCAAAAACTAGTAGCTGTAGTAGCAATTAACCACTTGTTCATATCAAATTTAAGGGTCGACCGTCAAATTATCTCACTAATGCCTAGATGTTTCCACACATCTAAGTCACAAGCTTCAATTCGTTTGACCCAACTTTGTCAAGTAGAATCTGGTTGCCTCCATGATTGGAAAGGGTTTTTGCCATTGTCCCAATTTACCCAATTGAGTTTGGTTGGTTAAGAAGCAGGGTTTCGCCATTGGCAAGTGGGTAATATGGAGCTATTTCATCTGGAAAGTAGGCTATGAATGTAGGTCCTAGGGTTGCTCTGGCTGGTGGTGGTACTTGGGATCAAGGTTAGGTCCATCAATAATACATCATTTTTTACACTAATGGTTTTGCGGAATCGAAGGTGTTCATCACTAGTTTCATCCTCTTTCTGAGATTTCGACTTCTTGGGAGCCATGGTTCAAGGTTTTTTCATCCTCTTTCTGAGATTTCGACTTCTTGGGAGCCATGGTTCAAGGTTTTGAGTTGTTTGGTGTTTTGGTATGAGAGTTTCGAAGGAAGGAGGATGAAGTTGAAAAGTTTGAACTTTTATAACTTATGTTGTGCCCAGTGCTTGGGTTTATTTGAATTAAGTATGTTATTTATCAGGGTCCAGAAAATGGACTTGTTTAAGTTAAAATCATTATTATTTATTTAACTTAAACAAGGGGGGCATTGTTTGTGTCTATTTTTTGTAAAATTCCTATCGACAGGTGTATCAGTTAGATGATGACACATGGCAAAGTCAAAGTGAGAGTCTTTCATTAATCAGAGGGATAGGTGGCATGAAAAAAGGTGAACATGTGCAGAAAGTGGTAGGAATGTTCTGGGGGTAGTTACCAGCCAATTTGTGACTTAGTGGGCTGATTTATAGGAGATGATGCTCACAAATTGAGGCTTGTTCTTTGTCGAGGTATCGCTCAGAATAATGAGGGGCACATGGCACCATGGACGAAAAATGGTTCGACAAGTGGAGTTGAGGATTTGGCAGATTTTGAAGGCTTTCAAGTGAAGAGGCAGTTACCATGACAGTTATGCAGTTGCAGGTTAGAAGGAATATGCGATCATGGGCCAAGGAAAGAGGAGGAAGTATAAAAGCCAAAGATTTGTAAAGAGGAGGACATCATCAACACAACAACAACTTAGTTTTTACCTTCGGAGTAGATTATCAATTTGGGAGTGGTTTATTCTGTAACTTGTAACCTTTGTAAACTTTGGTGGTTTCATCTTGAAATCATCTCTTGTTTGCTTTGTTTACTTAGTTTGATCTTGTTGATTGTAACTTTTTTCCCAAGGAAGTCCCTGTACTTTCAAGGCATTTGAATCAAAAAATACAGTTGCTTGATCTCTCCGTTTGGTTGTTTGTTTAAATTATTGCTTGGCTTCTGTCGATTTAGACCAAGCATAGTTTTTACTAACAGATGCCCTAGTGGAAATGAGTCAGCCTTTGGAGCAAGAGGTGCCATGTTCGATTCCCGAGGGCTAACTTTTTCAAGGCTTGAACCATGTGCGTTGGAGGGGTCACAGGTTCGGCCAGTTGTCTCCAACCCTCATTAGTTCATCCAGTTTAACCATCGGTTTGGCCGGTTTAACTGAAAAATGCCAATTTTCAAGTTAGGCCGGGTTTGAGGGTGTATTCGGACCAAAACCTAGACCGGTCAACCGGTCAAATTGGCTGGTCCGGTCTGGTTTTAAAAACATTGAAGGGTGCCACAAAAAAGTGTTGCCACACCAATCAAGTAGCATGATTTGAGAAAATTTTGCACCCCATACGAATTATATGGAACCAATCTAATATTTGTTTGAATAGGAATGATTTTGTATAAAGTTGAGGCTAATGAAATTATGTGCTTCAACCACTTTTCTAAACAGAAATAGAATATACAACCAATATGTTCATCAAGATATTGTATGAAAATCAGGTTTAAGTGTTATATCACACTACTAATAAGTGCTTAATGAGACAACTAGGCATGTGAAAGTGGTTTGCCACTTCATTAGCGATATGGTGATGTAGAAATAGATTCCCAGTGTGCGAATCAAAAGCAAATCATTGTAAAGAACACTAAAAATAATTAAAAAAAATAAAAAGGAAAAAGAAAATTGATAGTTTCAAACATATATATGATAATTGTAAATAGATTATTTACAAGATTTTGGTGTTAAAGGGATGTTTGGGTGTAGTTTGTTATCATTTTGATGCATTTTATGCTATTTGAAAAAAAAAAAAAATGGAGTTGAAGCTCAGTTCGGGTCTATTATTCGAACATTTTAAGGTTGTTCAGACT